GGCTGTATGGTGCTTCTTCTCCAAGCATCTTCTCTGCATCCCCAGAGACACCTGCAGCCCTTGACACAAGAATTTCTCTAAGGTCATTGCTCTGAATAAGTGTTCTTACCTGGGTCTGTGCATGAAGTCCCTACAGCACTGATGTGCTGGCTAAACATGGCAGGCGTGAGAGTGTGAGTATTTTCCTGGATAGCCCAGAGATTTTAGCAAAGGCTCTTGGATCTTGGAAACAGAGGACAAAGATAATCCTAGCCACCAAGAAAAGGGGAGGAGCTGCAAGCAGGGCCTCCACTGTGAGTTTGGTCAGCATACTCTGACCTCAATGTGTCAACTTTTTGCTTGAAAGCATTGGGTTATCTCCATGGAAGAGAGATGAGAGACACAACAGAGGCAAAGTCCAAGGGCAAAAGCCCAGCAGCCTTGGCCAATTCTCTCACAAACACTGAGATGGGAGGTTAAAAGGCCCTAAAATCTGTCCCAAGGATCACAATGTGCTTTTATAATCCTGCTTTAGTTGGCCATGTGGGCATTACTGGGTAGGATGTGACTTGGGGACAGATAGCTCTCTATTGCTCAGATGCTTCCTGGTAGGGATGATAGCACCCATAGCCAAAGGGAATCTCCCCCACACAGCAGGTACACAAGAATACTTCCACAGGGCACAGTTGGAGAAAAAGTAAAGAGTAAGCAATATGTATCTACCCACCTGTCTATTCATCCAACCACTTACACTTCTCACACACATCTCAGGAGCCAGCCCAATGCAATCAGTACCTGTGATTAAAAGGGTGTGTGTGTGTGTGTGTGTGTGTGTGTGTGTGTGTGTGTGTGTGGAAGTCTAGCAGAGAATAGGCACACTGATGAGTAATAATTCAAATGTCATTGCTGTAAGAAAATCAAGTGTCAAAACTTAGCCATCTAGAGGTAGGTCACGGGATGTAGGAGGATCAGCTCTCCCCACAGTCACTAAAGGAGTCCTGAAAGAGCTCATGAGAAAGAGAAAGGAGTGTGTGGAAGAGCTGTGCAGAGAGAGAAGGACCCTGTGAGGTGCACAGTAGTCTAAGAGGGCTCCGCAGACCTGGTGACAATGGATGGAGTAGAGAGGTCACCCAGTGGGGGTGATTGTAAATGAACTTCTTCCTCCAGCCCTGGAATCCTTGAGGAGTTCTGAGCAGAGGGCTGACAGTAAAAACGGCTGCATTTCAGGAAGGTGGCTCTGATTATAGACACGATGGATGGATGGATGGATGGATGGATGGATGGATGGATGGATGGATGGATGGATGGATGGAGAAGTCACAAAACCCCAAGAAGACTTATATATGCTGTTATATGCCAGGATCAGGCATGCACAGCAGGTGTGTAGTGACTCTCAAACCACAGGCCAATTTCCTACCTGAGTGACCTTCTTCATATATAATGTTTAGTTCCAGCACGAGTCATCTTCTGTTGGTCACGTGTGATTTTCCTCTGAGCAACTGCCTGTCCCACAGTCTCTCAAACACCTTCACTTCCCATGTATAGATAATGCACTCTCAAGTACGGGCTACTCTGTCGGTTCCCTGGGCCTTTGTACGCATACGAGCCTAATGTCACATACACACTGTCACAGCGTTCTCAGAGCACTTCCCTTTGGTGCCACGCACATTCTTCTTTTTTGCCTTTTCGAGTGGGTGCCCAAGACCAAGGGAAACCTGGTGAATAGTTCCACTAACATGTTAGCATTGTCCCAGGCAAGTGCATTGTCCCAAGGGCGCTGAGATCACTTAGACACCTTCTAGAATCTCAGAGATGAGACTGTAACGAAGGTATTTTGTTTGCAGAATGAATAAATGAGTGAATGAATGAATGGTTCCATTTACAGAACCATGGTTAAAGCTAGGCTGCCTAGAACCTAACCCGTTAAGTAGCTACAGAAACACAGCTTGTGTCCTGGAAGAAGCATTAGTCTATGCGCAAGTCCAAGTGCTGTGCACCAATGATCATGGTCTCTGGGTTGGAGTAGGCAGTCCTCTGACTTTGATAGTGTAACAGGATGATTCTAGAATAAAAATTCCAGCATTTGTTAAAACTATCTGCCTAAACAGGGCATAGTTCCCATTCTGTTGATGCTTAGACACAAAATAAAGTTCTGAGCATGCAGGACTCTTCTGCTCCCTGACCGAGAGTCCAAATCACAGATTTACACAATGGACTCTGGACAATGCCTATCCGGAGAAAGTCACATTGTGATGGGTACAACCAAGGGGGCCTCATGGAGGCAGTGAGCACAGAGAAGCCAAAAATCCCATAGGTGAAGATACTCAAAACCAGGACCTCTTCTCAATGCACAGAACAGAGGTCATATAAGCCTCAAGGAAGCCAGTCAATCTGGAGGGCTCACAGAGGCCATGTGTTACCTGGGGAACCTTGCTACTCAGTTTTGTGAAGGTCGGCAGAAAACCCAATAGGGGAAAGTACCTTTTAGTTCAGAATATTTCATGCTGTGTGGTTCTGGCTCAGAAGCAAACCATTGCCTTTATTTATTAAGGTCCCGGTGTATGCCAGGCACTGAATATATGCTTCATCTGTTCCTTGTGGCAAGGTGCTTATCCATTCTGTAGATGAACAGATTGAGCTACGAAGAAGGTGGCTAAGTGGACCGAGGTCACGTAGTGAGGAACAGAGCAGAATTATACTTCATACTTCCTGACAGTGAAGCCACGATCTTCCCCTCCACGCTCTGATCTTGACCATGTTGGTGAGAGCAGTTCAGGGGGCTCATGGCCACTTCCCTCATGTTGCTTATAGGTGAGTCCAAGGGAAGGAAGGCAAAGCCAAGACCTACACTGTCATTGGCAGAGCACGCCCATCAAAAGATGACACCTCCATGAAGCCTTTTGCCAGGCACATGTCAACAACCAAACAAAGCAAGTGGCTTTGTAACCCTGAGCAGTCCTCAGTTCCCTAGAGTCTTGGACACTTTGGGGATGAAGTGGTGTTGGGTGTCATGGCCAAAACTGAAGCAATGACAGGTTTCAGGAAAGATAATGAGGGAGGCTCAGACCTGGAGGGAAGGTGCCCTATGTTGGGGGAGATGTCCATTTCCATGTATCCGGGAGGAAGAAAAGACTTATGTCATAGCAAGAGGAGTTGAAATCAGATGGTAAAAAGAACTTTCTGGTGACTGTAGTGAGAAAACACATAGCTGTGTAGAGTGATGTATCCATGGAGCTCCTCTGGTGGCCACATGGGAAGTGGCAGAACTGAGTGCTATGCTGTAGAGTGAGGCTCCTTGTGGCTGAGACACACCCATGAGTTCTTCTTCATCTGTGGGAGTAAGCAAGGCTGGGGCAACTGGTAGAGATGAAGCTTTTCATCCCGCCTCTGGGGTTTAGGACCCCATAGGGAGCATCTTTGCTCCCTGAGGTCAGGGAAAATACTTTTCATCCCACCTCTGGGGTTTGCTCCCTAAGGCCAGGGAAAACACTTTTCATCCCACCTCTGGGGTTTACTCCCTAAGGCCAGGGACAACACTTTTCATCCCACCTCTTGGGTTTGGGACCCTACAGGGAGCATCTTTGCTCCCTAAGGTCAGGGAAAACACAGAAGAGGCCTTCCGACAGGGTTGGGAGTACCTTGGGGGTAAGTCTTGGAAGAACTAAGTCCTGAGGTTTCCTAGCTCTCCAGTGTCAGGGACACCTGCCTCACTGGCCCCATGTTCCTCCTCTATAAAAGCTGGGAAGGCTTCACCGTATGACCCCCAGGTCTCTTCTAATCCTAACCCTCTGTTACAGTCTGCCATATGAGTCATTCCCCAGAACCTTGGTTCTCTTCATGTCATACATCAGTAACTACCGATAGTGCATTTATCATCTGTGCAGCTCTCAGAAGGGAAGTAATCAAACAGGATCCAGGCATTGGCCTCTAGGAAATGGCAGTGTAGAAAAGAAAGTTTCCTCAGCATATGTGCTAAGCACCTTACACAGGTAGACTCCTGTGTTCCTCAGTACAACTCACTGACGTTGGTATTGACCCAGGCTATGCAGTTGAGGAACCCAAGGCTCAGAGGCAAAGCAGCATGGGCAGTGTCATGCAGTGGTAGGGCCTGAAGCCAGAGCCCAGCCATTAACTACACCATTGTTCTCTACCGTGCAGTACATACACAAGGACACTCTGAGGATGACTCTCTGTGTTCTGAGACAGAGCAGAGAAACTACAGTTATTCCAAGGAGCCTTTTAGAGGCAGGGCTTAGCCCTGGACCTTGAAGTAAGGCACAGTTTGAAGGCTAGTAGAGAAAGAAACAGTGCCGATTACTGATTCCCTGTCTTCTTAGGGTAGACAAGAGGAAGGCAGTAATAGCTCAGCCTGCCGGGGGCTCCCTGGGAGGAAAGGGGAGCCAACCAAGAACAGAGGCCTCTTTAAACCCAGTGGTGCAAGCTCCCTCCTTTCCATGGCCCGGCCCCAAAAGGAAGGTCTGAAAGGACTGATAATGGCCGCTCCCTCTCCTAGACTCACTAGGGAAGTCTAAAGATGTAGCGAGTCCCATTAAGACCCCCAACCAGTGGCCATGGAGCCAGACTAGTGACCACTGCAGTGGTTAACGCAGTATAGCAGTGTCCACAAGCCGGGCGCTTTTAAGGTGCCCAGTAACTACGCGTCTCCACTTCCCGTGAGGCCTAGACAGTTAAGACACCATTTCCAGGCTGGGGACAGGTGCCAGGTCACTAAGTAACCTGCCAGAGAGGTATGACTGCTAAGAGACCAGATCCCAGTCACTCTTTACCATTCTGCCCCTGTTCTGAGTCCTAACCCCAGGTGCCCCTTCTACCTGGGTACCCTCCAAAACTCAGGTTTACCCCTGCCTGGGGCTCTTTCCAGCCCTAAGAGCCTTTCCCTAGAGGGGCAGCAGGAGATACCCCTTATTCCCTCTCATTGGAAAGGACTAGAACCAGGCAGGTCAGGCCACATGCACCATCCCCCTCTCCCCCAACCGAGCACCGTTGCCTTCTGTTCACAGTGATGGCTCCTGTGCCCAGGCCGGTGGGGGCATGGAGGACTCCGTGGTGGCAGCCGGCAGACCCAGTGCCCATGCCCCGAAGGCTCAAGCCCAAGAGCTACAGCAGGAGGAGGAGCGGCCGGGGGCGGGGGGCTCCCCACGGGCTGGCCCCCTCCGCACGGCCTCCCCCGGCCAGCAGCAGCCTGCCCTGGCGACGGCGCTCTGCTCCCACACCCCTGCTGCCTCCGAGTACGAACTCTCCCTTGACCTAAAGAATAAACAGGTACCCAGGGCCTCCTAGGGGGGCGGGGAGGGTGGTGAAGGGCCCTGCCTTTGGGGGCTGTCCAGGGTGCCAGGGACCCACAGGCACACTTTCTTTCACTGTTCCTCCCCAGCTGAGCTACCTAACTGCCCTCCCCTAGGGCCCAGATTCTTAGGAGGCCATGCGTAAGCCCCATCTGGCCTTTACCTGGCAGGTTCGAGCCCTGCACGCAAGGCCTATAGCTAGTGTATCCAGGGGCCCTGCCCTTCACAAGGTGCAAGCCTCAGTGCCCACTCCCGCCTTATGCAGAAGAAACAACCTTGCTTCCATGCCTCCCAAGGGTTAGCCCAATGCTAAGGCATGCACAAGCAAAATGAGGTGTGAAGTCAGTGACTGTGTGTAAGTGGGCAGACTTGCCAAGACTGATCCAGATGAAGACGTTCAGAGCCTCTCTGCCTGAAAAGGGATACCCGCTTAGAGGGAGATGTAATTAGATTCTACCAAGAAACAGATTAGAACTCGGAGATGTAGATATGGGATCCAGTCCTCACTGTTCCTTCAGGAATGCCCACAAAACACTCTGGGCATTGTTTTCCTCATTAGCAAAATTGGGAATTAGACCTTCATTTACTGCCAATAGCCCTGCTAGCTCCATAATGTGTAGGCTCTGAAGAACCAGTCTTGGCCTGTGAACAAGGCAAATCTCAGGAAGCCAGTAGGACTGAGTAAAGCCAAGCTAACTTCATTCCTTTTGGAGGACATTGATGCCAAGCTATTATCCTGGTTTGGGACCAGCAGTGGGCAATGTGCGTGACTTTTAGGAAAGCGTTTTGACAAAATCCTTCATGATAGCTATGTGGAAAGACAGGATTATGTGGATTAGATGACAACACAGACCGGTGGGTTTTTCATAAGTAGAATCTACAAAACAGAAGCAAAACCCCTCACCACCAGCAGCTTCTGTCTAGTCTATGTGCAGGGAAGGCGCTGTCCTTGCTTCTGCCCAGTTCTCCAATTTGAGAAGGCACTGGGTAAAACCATGAGAGTTCTAGGTACCAAGCTTTCTTCTGAGAAAAGGCCGAAGGCTAGAGCAAGAACCTTAATAACTGAAGCCAAGATTTTTTAATGGACAGAAAGATGCTCCAAATGAAAATAAGTCAGAGAAAATAGACAGAAATAGGCAGAGAAAATTCTGCTTATAGCCTTACAATGCCCAAAGTGGCCATGTTTTGTGTGTTTGATGAGGAAACAGCCCTGGAACAGGAGCCTGGGGCTTTAGTCGAGTGTAAGCTCACAGACTTCTGCTGTTAGTGAGGGAGCTGCACAGAGCACTCCTGACCCTCAGGGGCCTTCAGAGCAGGTCCCACAAAGCCACAGGACAGTGGAGTGGCCAGCCAGCCAGCAGCCCTATACCTCACACTCCTCAGGATCTTTGGATCTTCTACATTCTGCATGGAAAGGTCCTGAAGAAGTAGAACAGAACAGGTTGTGACCATGTGAAGAAAGCATAGACCAGAAGACGAGTTTGGAATGTGGAAGGACTGAGGAGCGGGAAAGCAGTGAGCTGCATTTTCTGTCCTCCCGGGAAAATACAGGGGCGCTGATATGTGAAAGCTGTGGACGGAGAACATTTTAGCCTACGGATTAACCTGGTAGATGCCTGGCCTGTGTTCTTTATTATTGGGTGAAGCTCGAAGAGGACCAAGACAGTGTGGTCTAGGGAATGGGCTGGCTGTGAGCACCCCACAACTCCACAGGTCCCTCCTTCTCACCCTTCCCCCAGCATCCAGCAAAGTGCCTTAGATGTAGGAAGTACTGAGAGTGGGTATTGTTTTTAGTAACTGTGGAGAAAAGCCAAGCCTCTCCCCCGCCCAGGAGGAGGGGTGCAGTCACATCCCATCACCCCAAGAGAACCTGGCTTGAGCAGAAGTTAGAAAAGTGAGAGCTGACCCGATGGGAAATGGAGATCTGTGATAGACCCCTGCTGACCCGTTAAGTCCCATCCTAACAGACAGGTTTGCATCTCAGGCCATTCAGCCTGAGGAACTCCGCCCTCCCCTGAATGTTGTATCTTTCTAGACAAACCACAGGTAGGGTAGGCAGGAGGAGCACAGGGCAAAGGAGGATTAAGGCCAGAACAAGGTTATTGAAACACAGCAGGTGCTTACAACAGACTGAACTTCCCTTTTCTCTACTGTGTGACCTTGGGCAAGCCGTTTGCCTTCTCTGGGCCTCAGCTACCTCACATGTGTCTCTGGGGCTTTGCACGCTTCCCCTTTGCCTCTGTCTCTGCAGTTCCTCCTCCTTCCAGCACTCCTCCCTTGGCCTCCTACTTTCCAGCTGGTTGGAGGTGTTTCCTCCTCTCTGGAAGCTTCTCTGGCCTCCAAGCATTACTACCCTCCCCTGTGCCCAGCACAGAGCCTGGTATTAAGATGATGTTCTGTGAGAGAATGCTCATGTAGTTTGTGGGGTTCTAGGCTTGGTCCCCAGCACCACAGGGAGGTGAAATTAAACCATGGGGGGTCTTAAAATCAATAAAACCATGTTTGTTATATAAGAAAAAAGAAGTATGAAAATGCTACAGTGAAACTCATTACTTTTTAGGCCAACTTAAAAGTTAATTGAAGTGTATGAAAGTACCAGATATATATAAAACCCTCAAAAGGAAGAGATGTTCAGAGAATGAAAAGGAGAAAGGATGACTTTGTGACAGACAGGGACGCATGAGCGTGAAGCCTAAACTGCATCCTAACCAGAACTCTTTGAGAGAGTGGGTTTAGTATTCTGACCCTGTGGTCACCCACAATCCTGTGGAATCCAGCAGTTCTCAGGCTTGGGACTGGATAACCATGGCCTCCCCTGCCCCCCACCTCCCTGTCAGCCAGTCCAGACCCAGAAGCCTTGTTCTGGCTCCTTGTTACCTCATATCATCTCCATCTCCAACTCTCACTGAGACTGCATCCCCAAACCCCACCCTCTCCAGCAGCCCACTTGAAGCCAGGCCGGCCTGCCTCTTGCCAGCACCCCTGTCACCTCCTGCCAGCTCCAGCTTCAGCTGGGCCTCTCCCACCTGGCTGCCACAGTGTGGCTGAGTCATCGCTGCAAAGTGCACTTCTAATCACGCAGCTCTCTGCTGGAAACCCTTGATGGCTGCCTTTATGTGCAGTACAAAAGCTTCCCTGGCTCCCCTGCTGCAGACCCAAGCCCACCCACACCAGGGTCCCTACTGCTCCCATTCACAGCCCTGAGTGCCCTGGCCAGCCTTTACCTCTGGCCCTTCGTACACAATGCTTCCTCCACTGGAAGCGCCGAGTATGAGCTGGCCCCACTCCGCTTCTCCGGTGGTCTCAGTGTATACTCAGGCCTCATCCGGAAGCCCCGAGCTGGGCAAGCACTTGTAAAGAGTGCCATGACGTACACTGCTGTCTAGTAGCTGCTCCACTCATGCAGACAAGGGCCAGGTTGTTCTCTGGCTCTTGCAGAGCTGAGCGGATTGTGCTTGAACACTGACGGGGTGGGGGTGAGGGTAGGGGTGGGGGTGGGCCAGGGTTTGTACTACACGGTACAATCCACATGGAGAGCTAGGGGTCCCAGGGAGGTACATAGCTGCCGCTCTGCTCTTGGCCATCACTGTTCTCCTGCACTCAGCATGGTCCCTGGATTCTAGGAACTGCTCAGCCTGGCATGAGTGAATGAAAGAAATCTGCCCCAAGCTTCCCTGCATCTCACTGACCCCTTCCCCAAGACCGGGCCTCAGGAAGGGGTCTCTTACACTCCTCCAACACCCTTGCCCTATCTTCCCTGGTCTGCTCACTTCCTCTTGCAATCATCCTTGGTGCTGCAATCTAGGGAGCAGAGAGACAGAAAGGGCAAGCATGTATGTTCCACAAGTATTAGGAAAACCAGCTCTTTAGCAAAGACACCGTGGCCAGGGTACAGACTCTATAACCCTCTATACTATAGAGGGTCCAATGTGATTCCCAAATCCTCCAGCTCTCCAAGGAGTTTGCCACCTGCTCTCTCTTGTGGCTGCTGAGTAGGCCATCTTGACTAGCTGTCCAAATTGTAGAACTCCCAGAACCTCAGGGCCATAGAGATATGGTCAGCAGCATCCAGACACTGTTCTCCAATCCAGGATCCATGGATGTCACAGTCTGTCCCCCCTTTCTTGAAGTGTCTTCTAGATTCCAAGCTTCAAAGTTTAGCCTCACCACCCCCTGAGGGAGGGGCACCTTGCCAAGAAGTTATTGGCAAGGTTTCCAAATAACCTTTTCTGTTCGAGCCTCGGTTTCTGTATTTGTGAACCTGGGTGCTGTCCTGAAGTGTCCCTGGGACACTCCAAAGGTGAGATTCTACCATGAGTAAGAAGGAACCTGGGGACCAGGTTGGAGAGGATGGAAGTGAAGTCAGGGCTGTGCAGAGGTGGCACCCCACTAGGCTCCGTGCTCTGAGAAGGCTATCACACTGCTGTTTTCTGCTCACTGCTAGTCCTGGTAACACCACAAGACAAAACACATGACCATTCTTGTCACATAGTCTTCCTGTGGTGAACATGTAGGTGCCATCCAGGGCTGTCTGAGCTGCCTGTCAGACACAGTGAAGAGCCTTTGCCATCATACATTGTTTCCCAGATTTGCATACTGTTGCTGTACCATACCATGGATGGGAAGACTAAGACACAGTCCACAGCCTGAACCTGGTACCCTCCCATCTCTGGCCATCACAGTCAACTGTTTGCACAGGTTTCACAGATGGATGCACACAGCCTGGCCTGCTGTGGAGCAGCCCTGCACGTGGGGTCTCTTGATCTCAGCCTGATGTTTGAGTTCGCTCTGCTAAGTTCCAGAAATGCATAGGACGACTGACTTTAATGTTCTCAGTTGAGAAACACGGAACCAGAGGAAACCCTCCCTTACTGCAGGCGCCCCACCCAGCCCAGACTCCTCAGCACTGTGCCCCTCCCCCACCCGCCCTCACCTGCTACCATCTCTCAAGGCCTGGGCAGGTTCTGCTGGCCTGGT